AATAGTGCCCCTCAGGTTGGGACCTTTGGGGGTCTGGGGCTGAGTTGGGGGGAAGATTTGGAGGGTTTGGTCCCTGGCGGGTGGAACCATTGGAGGCATACCAGGCTAGGATGCCACTGGGTCCCAGGACTGTTCTGTCCTGTGATGCTGTCCCAGACCTCCTCACAGGAGGCTGCTTTGCTGTCACCATGTGCCTCAGTTTCCCCACCTGAGTATCTGCCAAGAGCTGCCCCATGCTGGGAACATGGACAACGACCAACATACGTAGAAAGTTGGGTTACAAGCCAGCCAGTGCCTCTGCAGGAACCCTGCCCAGGGTGGGGTGGGGGGCTGAGGAGGAGGCAGGACCACACTGGGGAACTATAGCCTCCTTCCCCAGGCACCTTCCCCGCTCCACAGGAGGCTTCTCTAAGCAGTGTTAGCTGTTGCCTTGGGGAGTGCCCAGGCCCTGCACAGTCCAGCTCCACAGCTTCCTCCAGGGACATTCACCCCATGTCCTCCCTTTTCTACACTGGGGAGTCTGAAGCAGAGGGGTTGGACACACCCAAGTATGTGCATTGATGGCCACACACAGCTGCCTGCCCCATGTGGTGCTAGCTGCAGGCACTGCTATCTGTGGAAGTGGCTGTTTGGCACAGGTGCTGTAGACCACAGCAGCACAGTAGCGACCACCAACAGGAGTCCCCTGGGCCACTTGGTGGCCTCTGTGGATAGATCATGTGCTGAGCTCCTGCTTCAGACCAAGGTGGGTGTCTGGTCCAGGAGGGGCTGCTCTTCTGTCCTATGAGGGGAGTAGTTGCCCTGGAGCCCAGTTTGGGGGTCAGTTCCTGAGATAGCCCAGGAATAAGCTCTGGGCATCCTGGCTGACAGGTGTTGGCTTGGGGCCCACCTCGAAGTATGCCTGCAACCACTGTGGGTTTTAAGGAGCCTACCCTGGGGTGGGGTTATGGGAGGCTGGAGGAGGTGTGGTGACATGTCCCACCTATATACCTGGAGCCTCTGTCCCAGCTTCCCCAGGACATGTGGCTGGGCTGGGCCAAGCCTAGGGAAGACACTACACAGGCAGACATCATGGAACACAAGAGACCCTGGATCCCAGGGCTTGAAAAGGGAAATAGGTTTATTTTATGCAAGTCACAGCTCACACTAAGCTCAGTGTGTAAGGACGGAGGAGAAACCCTAGGTTGCTGCAAGCTCTTCTGCATGCTGGGTGTGAGGGGGCTCAGATGGAATTTTCAACATAGCCACCAGGCAGTCTCCAGTGATCTGCCAGGTGGGTGGCACCAGCTGCAGGGAGCAGCTGGCACAGCCAGGCAGAGGACCAGGGAGGGAACTTTCCCCACTGGTGCTCAGAGCAGGTGACACTAGAGCATCCACAAAGACACACATGTGTAGGCACCACGATTGGCCTGTGGAAACCCAGGAGAAAAAGTGCTGGGAGGGGACCCTTCTTGCCCCATAAACCTGGGGCACAAGAGCATGTGTGGGAGCAGAAGACCTGAGGGCCAAGTGGCCCTGCCCAATGCCACCATCCAACTTAGGTGCTCAGAATGTAGGACAGGTAGGGGTGTGGCAGAGGGAGAGCCCCAAAGCCAGGGATACCCCTGCTCCCAGTATCAACACTACTTTCCTCAGAAAGCTCAGTCTGTCCAAAGGGATCAAGGCGGTGCTGTTCCCACTCATGGATGGATGGTGCCAAGACTGAAGGGCTTTCACCCCCAGTGCCAGCACTGGGGGGATCAGCTCTCCATCTCCTGGGCTGGGCTCGGGCACCAGCCAACCAGAGGTGTGGCTCCTGCCCCCATGTGGTGCCCTGGACAGTAAAGGCATGGCCTCTGCAGAATGCCCAGCAGCTGGGGACCCACTTGGGGGTCCAATAAAATAATATTTAAAAAACAAAACAACAACAACAAAAAAAAAACTTGGAGGAGGACAGGTTTATTCTGGCTCAGTTTCAGAGGTTCCAGTAGGTGGTCACTTGGGTCTGTGGCAAGGTGGGATGTGGAGGGGAGGGTGTGGTGGAGCGGAGCTGCTGACCTCGTGGCAGCCCCAAGCCTCTTCTGTCCCCTACCTGCTTCCTGGAGCCACCAGGGCTGACAACCCTCACAATGCCCGAATGGTGCTCCAGGGACCCCCTCCATGGTGGGGGGGCTGTGCCTACCACTGTACTTCAGATCTGAGACACCCCAGAGGTCCATGTGCTGGAGGCTTGGCGCCCAGTGTTCAGAGGTGGGGATCTAGGGAAGTGACTGGATCATGAGGGGGCTGATCAATGGATTAATCCATTGATGGGTTCATAACTGAATGGACTGCAGGAGGGGTAATCATCACCAGCTCCTTCCTGGCTGCCACGAGGTCAACAGCTCCACTCCACCATATCCTCCCCTCCACATCCTGCCTTGCCAAAGACCCAAGCCCACAGAACCAAGCGACCACCTACTGGAACCTCAGAAACTAAGCCAGAATAAATAAACCTGTCCTCCTCCAAGTTTTTTTTTTTTTAAATATTATTTTAGATGATGATGGACCTTTATTTTATTCACTTGTTTATATGTGGTGCTGAGAATCGAACCCAGTGCCTTACTCATGCTCAGGAAGCATTCTACCACTGAGCCACAACCCTAGCCCCTCCAAGTTGTTTTGTCTCGGTGACAAGAAAGCTCACACTGAGCAGGGTGGGGCTCCCTCCCTGCCCAGCTGACCCAGTAGACTGTAAAGCTGTCTCCTACTTAGTCTTCTGTTCAGAAGGAATACCTGCCATGCTGAAGCCCCTCCCAAGTGCTCTTGGCCTTGCCCAGCTGAAGTGCCTCAGCACGTCCAGGTACTGGCTGCCATCAGGAAGACCTTGAGCTACACCTGGACTCCTTTCCATGTGCCCCAGGCTGTACCCAGACACCTGAAAGCCTGAACTCTTGGCCCCACATGGGTGACCCCCACCCTCCATCCTAACTTGGATAAACACAACAGCCCCCAACAGAGCCCTGGGTTGGGTTAGACCACCAGTTGAAAGAGGAGCTGCACACCTGGAAACAGGAGGGACAAGGCAGGAGTTCAGGTGGCAGAGAGTCTGATCAACAGCAGGGAGTTACACCCTCTAGGGGACACTGGGGGTGGGGCCCTTGCTCAAGTGGGAGCTATATGTCTGAGAGGGCGGGGCCCTTGGGTGAGCAGTGTGGCGCTCCAGGCAGTAGCTTTGCATGCATTTGAAGACACTAGCAGTTGCTGGGCTCATTCATAAATACACAATTTTATTTGCTATTTTCAGGGGAAACTTAGGCATTAAATGGTAAGCTGATAAAATACGGATACCTAAAAAAGTACAAAAGTATAAATATCCCCTTAGAATAAATTTTAGTGAATTAAGTCTTAATATTTTTAAATTAAAAAACAAAAACAAAACAACCCACAAGCCTATCTATTATGTCAATGTCAAAATCAAAAAATGCTAAGCACCCAGCAGCTCCCCAGGGCCAACACAGGGACACCTTCCCTTGGAGCTCTGCTGGGAGGACCGGGTCAGCCAGTGGCTAAATCTGCCCTATAGAAAGGTTTTTATAAATTGTTTAAGCTGAACCTTTAACAACATACAAGAGGCCTTACGAAAGGAGGAGGTAAATCCTAGATGCTGGAGAACTTAGTTAATCAGGTTATTGGCAAAGAAGAAAAAAAAGAGGACCTAGGCAAGAAGTTTCTGGAAGCATTGACATTAGACAGTGTCAGAGCCTCTGACCTCACACAGGCAACTCCAATGGTCACTCTGCACAGCTCTCCTGGCAAGCAAAGATCAAGAGGCAGAGCTTGCTCACTGGGGCCAGGCCCCCAGCCCCCACTGAAGAGTCTCAGAGCCTGCAGGGGGCAGCCTCTACAGCAACCCCAGCAGCCTCGATGGCACACTGGCTGGGTCATGTAGGTTGTGTCAAGTCTCAAATGCTCCAGGAGTATTAGAAAGAAGAACTGCATAGTTATACAGAGATAACAGAGCCGGAGAGGAAGAGACACATGATGCACTGTAAACATCCCGAATCTTCAACGTGACTCGGAGTGTCAGCTCAAGAAGCCAGGGGACACGCCTCCGCCCAGCCTCCATCCCAGATGCAACAAAGGCACTGGTGAGCACCAGCTCCCAGATGAGTCCGCAGGTGGAACCCATGAGGCAAACCTTCTACCTCCCTTTAAACTATTTGACAGATCCATCTAAAACATAGCAACACTTTTAGGCATTTCTAAAGAGTATAAACATTGGGTAATCTATCCATACTTAAAAAAAGGGATACAAAGTTCTCTTGCCTGGAAAATACAAATCAAGAAGCCTTGACTGTGGAGGCTGGAATAAGAGCCTGGCTCTGAAGGAGGCGGTCCTCAGGGTAGGCGCCCAGAAAGTAGTGATGATGCGGAGGCCACCATTGTCAGGGGTCTTCGCCGAGGTTGAGAAACTGTCAATTGATCACACTGGAGGCAGAGCAGCTTCCCTGACCCAAGGATGATGTTCAGGTGCTCAAGCAATGACCACCAGGCATCTGGACCTGAGCCACAGTGCGCTGGACAATCCACATGGCTGCTGTCCCTTCCTCCTGGTGAGGCCTGAGCTGCTATCGCAGACTATGAATGTAGCACCAAGGGCCCTGCCCTTCAAATGGTCTTCAGGACTGCGCAGGCTAGTTGGGAGCACCCTGCCTCAGTCCCACGCAGCACTCGGAAAGAACAGAGCAGACTCCCAGAGAGAGCCCACCTGGCCCCTGTGCCTCCTCCCTGTGGGGATGCCTGGCCTTAGACAGCTGGGCCGTCTCTCACCACCCACCTCTGAGGCAAAAAAGGATGCACACCCAGATCTCTAGAGAAATGATCAAAAGCAGGTTTCTTCTCACAGACGTACTTCCTAGACATGGCGGTTCACTGAATCTTGGGAAAAAGTATATCATTTCTTCGGCTGTCAGTACTATATCTCACATCCTTGAGCCTCGTTCTTGCAAAATCTGAAAAATAACACATGCAGAGTGAGGTCTCAAGCCTGACTGAGTCCTGCTCTGCAGAGCAGAGCCACAGACCTGCAGTCCACCCCAGGCAATTGGCTCAAAGCCTGAGGACCCTGCACCACAGGCTAGGGTCTCAGCTGGCAGGCTCAGGGACCTTCAGTGTGGGGAGCCAGCTCCTCAAACTCTCTATCCCCCCCATATCAAAGAGATCAGCCCCCAGACCCTTCCCCCCATGAAACAGCAGACCCATCACCACTCATGCAGCCCTGGCTCTCCTCTGAGACACCTGCCTGACCACAGAAAACCTTCAAGTATGGGTCATGCTGGGGAGATGCCCTCAGTGTCTTGACCCCACCTGCCCAGCACAGCCCTCTGCTCCCTGGCAGCTATGCTCACACCACTGGCTCCATCTCAGAGCCTGACCTCAGGGGACCCTCCCCTTATGGCTTCTCTCAGTGGCACAATCCAGTCCACTGTGCACCCAACTAAATAGGAGTGGGAGCTCCTGAAGGCCTGGGGACAGGCTAGGGCCCTGGCAAATGTTACTGAGTCAAGTCCTGGGCAGGGAAGAAGACCTCGTCTTGAGGCAGGGTGTGCTAGAGCTGGCCAATCCCACCAGGAGCCACTCAGCTGCTCCTAGCCACTGCTGCAAGCACAGAGGCACTGCCAAAGCCCTAGCAGCAGAGAGCTGGCCCTTGGGAGGCTATCAAGGGCTTGAAAGAAGGGTCTCTCGAGCTACTCCAGCCTGTCCGCCAGCACCCCAAACACCCTTGCCTGTCTCCATGGACAGCTCTGGGGGCCAACTCCTACCAATGGCTCCCACTCATGTCAGTACCTTGAGGGGCACTTCCTACAGGACTGGGGAGCAGCAATTCTCCTCAGGCCCAACAAAAGCAAGCCCCATGAAGTATGATTCCGAGACTGCCAAGACTTGGGAGGTGACTCGAAGACAGTTCCACCCTCCTGCTAAGGGACCAAGCCCCAGCCACCACTAGCCCCAGTGCAGAGCTGGAGCCCAGTACACCCAAGAGAGGGTCTGCATTGGCAGAACTAGAGTGAGTGACTTCCCTGGGACAGTGTGACTCCCTTGAGGGGCCAGACCTGACAATCCCCAGGGCTTGTGACAGCATGCTGTTACCATTAGCCCTCCCAAGACCAGCTGACACCATTTGCCCGGAAAGAGTGCAGTGTAAAACTCCCAGGCATGCTTCAGGCAGGGCTGTCTTACACAGGAGGTCCAAGTCCCAACAGAGACCCTGTGGTGTGCTTGAGGCTGCGCCCAAAGCAGTGGCACACTGACAGGTATGGCCACTTACATAGCCTCACATTGGGATGTCCTGGGGCAGAGACCACCTCCCGTAGCCTAGATCTCCTAGAGATGGGGGCCACCAAAGCATGTTCTCTGATAGCACAGATTTGGGAGGTAACTGTGGGGTGGGGAGGGGACACTGAAAGAAGTCCCCCTCCCTCTAGGATGTTGGACCAGGCTCTGAGTCTCAAGCACCTTCAGATAATCCTCTCCTCTGCCCAACCTGGTGGTAGGTGTGGCTCCCCTGTGTTCCTGTGGACCCCACAATTCCCCAAGTCAGGCACCTGTCATAGCTTAGCCCCACGGCAGGTACATCTGAGGTCCTGCTACCCACATGGCTATTGAGCCCTACAATGGATGATGCTGACAGAGGCTGTGACACAACCCCGAGTCTCACTTCAGAGACTCAGAGCAAAAAAAGAAGAGGAACAGATTAGTACTTTTTATGTTAAATGACAATACTCTTAACTCAATATGGTGGCATACCCCTGCAGTCCCAGCTCCTTGGAAGAGTCTGAGGCAGGAGGATCACTTGAGCCCAGGAATTCAGGGCCAGCCTGGATAGCAAAGCAAAACTCCATCTTTGTGGGGGAAACACACACACACACACACACACACACACACACACACACACACACACACACACACGACTGAACCCACCCAGGGCCTGTACGTGGCAGGCAAGTACTCTATCAGACATCTCAAGCCCCCTTATTTTATTTTGAGACAGTTTCGCTAAGTTGCCTGGGCTGGCCTAGAACTTGATTCTCTGACCTTAGCCTCCTGAGTGGCTGGAGTTATAGGCATGCGCCACCAGGCCTGGTTTCTTTTATTTATTTAAGAAGGTTACTAGAAGATTTTAAAAGACCACATGGAGCTCATGACAAATTCTCTTAAAGGGCCAGATAATAAATACTTGAAGCTTTGAGGGTCAAGAGGCACTTATATAATCACCTAAAAGCACTATTCAAACAAAGAGTGAGCTCGAGGACTGTACACAGGCAGACCAGGTCCCTGGGCTGCAGTTTGCAAGGCCTGCTCTAGATTTTTTTGGTTAGTTGTTCACCTTGAGAGGCTCAGCTGGCCAGGTATATTTCCTTATGTTCCCTTGTACACTGAGCTGCTCATGGGGTGGTGGTAAAGGCTCCTAGCTTGTAGGGCTGGGCCTATAAGATGGACCTCCTAGGGGATGGGGGAGGAGCTGACTTTGCTGCCCACCACCACCCAGGTACTCTCCTGTGTGTAAGGGAGACACCAGGCAACCCTGCTGAGTGATGCTATAGTTGGGTTCTAACAAAGGTCCAGCCTTGCAGACATGAAAGGTGAGACTGGGCTGAAGCAGAGACTGGAGGAGAAGCTGGATGCTATGGGCACTGCCCAACCTCAGGCAAATGGTAGAAGTTCAAACACAATTGCTGCCCTGTGGTGACATGACAGAAGCACTCCTAGCCTGGAAGGCTTGAGTATGAGCGAGAATCTGGGCTTTGGCCCCTGAGATCAGAGCCACCGATTCCTGTTCACCCAAGATCCTGGCCCATGACCAGCAGGAAGGCCACCCCTCAGGGGCTGGCAGGCTGGAGTGAGTGTTCCCTGCCGGGCCCTGGAGTGCTCCTGGGTCCATACCCACTGATGCCATGGTCTTTCCTGACACAAATGGCTTGGTAAGTCCTTCTGCCCATGGTAACCATGGAGGGGTACTATGGCAGAACAGTGCCCAGTGTCTGTATGCAGACCTTGGCTCCACCTGCAGCTCTACAGTGCATCTATAGGTACATCTATTGGAGGTTCTGTGCATCTACAGGTGCATCTATTGGAGGTTCTGCACAGGACAGGTGTGGGGGAGGGGCTGGGGCAAGGGTCCAGTGGGGCCACAGGTTCAAGGACACTAGGTGCTGGGTCAATCTGAAGGGCTGCAGAGCTCACCATGACATTACACTTAATCTGAGTCACTGCCTTGGTACCCCGTCTCCTCGTCGTCACTCTGGTGCGGCAACGTGCAGCAAGGGAGAAGAAGACACGGGTGTCAGCCAAGTGCAAACCAGGCAAGGCAAGAGAGCTGTCCACTGGATTACCCTGAAGGAATCCCCAGGCTCAGAGTGCCACAGTTGCTTCCTGGAGGTGGACCCACCTGCAGCAGATGCTCATCCTCTATGGTTGCTGGGCAGTTTGGCCCTGTGACCTCAGCTACCTGGAGGTGACTTTCAGGCCCACAGAACCTCCTGCTGGATAGGATGGCCTTTATCTGCCAGAGGCCAGGAACCACGCTGCTACATGATGGAGGGTGGGGCCCTGGGTCTGAGACTAAGCCACATGCGCAGTTAACTGATCAATCTCAAAGGGAGGGGAAGGGTTCTCCTGGCCTCTGCCACATGTCACCTCCTGCAGCTGCATGCCTCTGTAACAAATGGTGACTACTCCTGAGACTAACCTGGAAAGTTCTCAAGCCTGAGTAGTTTGGGAACCTCCTGCACTTGTGGTTGGCAGTGGAAGCAAGGGTGCTCACATGGGGTCTGTCCCTCTTATAGTGGGCCCAACTCCTCACACTGGCCATAGCCTTGATATCTCTCATTCTCATCATTCCCAGCCTGAAACAGAAAAGGCTGCCTAGCATTGCCAGGAGGGCACCAAATGCTCAGGGACCCTAAAAGGCAAGGCTCAGTATAAAGAGGGACACTAAAAGGCAAGCCACAAGGTGACTCGCTGCCCTCTGAAGTGTGGCCCTGTTCCATTCAGGCTGTGTGCAGGTGTCCCCAAACAACTCTCTTCTAGATCTGGCCCATGATTTTCCATTGCTCCCAGGGGGCCTGGGTTCTGCCCTACCCTCTGGGGAGCTACTGCTGCCCCCATTTTGAAGCTGCTGTAGCTGCTCTACTTCAGAGCCAGGTATTTTTGGAGACAGAAATAAGGTCCTGCTTTCAACAGCACTAGGACTTGGGTCATTCCTGGAGCTTCCTCACAACACAGAATGTATCCTTCCTGCAAATGAAAAGCCACCAGAGGGAAATGAGCCCTGGTGAGCTTCGGATGAAAACTGCAAGTTCAGAAAGAAAAGCTTCTAAAAATAAAACCATCTATAAAAGAGTCCTACTGTTGCTCAGAGTCAGAGAGGGGTGTCCCCCTAGGACAAGGCTGGGGTCTGGTGTAATAATGGTCATCATCTAGACCTTAGACCCAATGGAAGCTCATCCCAAGCCTGGAACCAGGACCCTGGCTTCACCTCAACTGTTAAAGGACACTGTGGGCCTGTCTGGCTTACATGGTCTTATGCCTTGAGGTGGCAGTGGTGGCAAGGTTTGGCCTCCTGCAGGTGTAGGAGGTGCAAGGGAGACCAGCAGCAGACGCACACACAGCACTGGGTGGGAATGCATGGCCTCCTGGAGACCCCTGGGCTGACTGAGTCCATCAGTTCCCAAGCCCTCGCCCCAAAGAAGACCAGGGAAGATCCAAAGGGATAGCCCTGGATAGGTGGCTGCTGTCCATGGTAGATGCTGCTGGCAGCCAGCCAGGGGACACTGGCCCAGAGTCAGATTGTCACAGAGCCCCTGGTTCAGTGTTCTCACTTAAAAGCCTCCCAGACTGGCCTCTTCCTGTACCCACACATGAAGCCCTCTTAGGCCCCTCATCAGGATCACGTGGGGGCCCCTGGAGCTGCTGTAGAGCTCTCTGTCTACTGTTTGGCTCTCAGGCCAGGGGCCAAGCCAGCTCAGGCTGTGCTGGGTGCTTGCTGTAGGGGCAAGTACGCCTGTGTGCCCTAGAGCCCAGCTCTGAGAACATGCCTGGAGGATATGCCACTATGACTGTGGTCACTTGTGAGCAGGCCACAGGATTAATCTAAAACTAACAAGGCAGACCACTCTCTGTACTTTTACCCTAGCCTCCACCACATTCTGGAGGAGACAGAAGAGTGTGGACTGCTGCAGGGCAGACTCACAGGACTGTAGAACCTCCTTTACACACTAAACCCAACTCAGAGACCTGTGGCCATGGGTGAGGCCACTGCTGATGCTGAGAACCAACCCGCAGCTTAAAGGCCTAAACCCTCCCCCCACACTGGAGGTTGTCCCGGAAATGGAGGATTCCTGGATTCCACAAGAAATAACCAACAGTGGTGATCCTGAAACACAAAGAATCCCTGACAGCAGGTCCAGTGGATGCTTCCAGAAGCAGCTCTGCACATGGGTTGAGCAAACAAGGATCAGTACTCATTCCAGGAGGCTCTACTGATAAGCCAGGCAGTCCTCATGAGGACTTCAAGCCATCAGGAAGAAAGCCTTTCAAAATTCAACCTTCAGAGTCTCCCACCAGGAGGGCTGGCAAGTCCACAGCTGCTAGGGCACCAGAATGTCCCTGCACACTCACCTTGGCCTTCTCGCTGGGCTCACTGGTTGTGCCATATGGGGTGTTGTGCAGCTCCTTGGAAACCACACAGAGGAACTCGGCCTGGTCTTCGTTCCCATAGTTGTAAGAGGAGCCGATGCTGACCAGCTGGAAGAGAGACACAGGCTGTGTGGAACATCTCAGGTTTTGGCCAAGAGGTTCTGGTGAACTGAAGGGAAATTTACCCCGAAACCCTTGCAGAAGCATGCACCTGCACTAAGACATTATGCAACATGCTGGGACAGGATGCTGTTTCTGTTTCTGGGCCCACCGGAGATGCTGACTGGCTTCCCTGGAGAGAGGGTGCATGGAGTGAGACTAGTGGGAGACAGGGCCAGAGCTTGTGCAAGTGCTGCACAACCTGTTTGTCCTTGCTGGCCACCACCTGGCCCTCTGCAAGACTGAGCTGGGGTGGGGTGGGAAAGGCAGAGGCCAGGCAGCTGAGAGCTTAGAAAGCTGAGCCTCTCTGAAAGTGGGACTCTGGAGAAGCTGTGGTTTGCCACATCTCAGTATGCATGGGTCTAACTGTGCCTGACCTGCTGGGCATACCCTTGGACATTTTAACTTGCCTAGAATACGCCAGGACATTCCATGCTATGTGGGGATGGGGCAGAGGACCAAACTGGCTGCTGCAGACATGCTTAGGGGACTAAGTTACACCATTGCCAACAAATGTTTTTGTAATTTAAAACACAAAACTAATCAAAACAAAGATAGCAACGGTATAGTAAAGGCATTAACACAATATCTACTGAGCCAAAGAACAGCTGAAAGGCTGCCAGCAGTGGCACAGTCCATCTGGCAAGCCGTGACCAATGCAGCAACAGGACAAGATGGTGGGAGGTGGTGGGTCCTGCCAGGTGAGATAGACTGTAGGGATGCTGGCCTTGAGTCAGAAAGTTGGGAACCCCACAGAGGAGAACACAGAAACCCAGTCTTCCAGAGGTCCTAAGCAACTTGGTGACACTTCATCTCAAAATACAAAATAAAAAAGGGCTGTGGATGTTGCTCAGCAGTTAAGCACCCCTGGTTCAATCCCTGGTACCGTTAAAAAAAAAAAAAAAAAAAAAGGATCAAATAAGGACTCCAGATCCTGCCCCGGTGTTGCAACAGCTTGCCAACCCACAGTCCTCGCCCTGCTTTGGGGTAGCAGAGTATCCTTACCAGGTGCAGAGGAGCGCAAGGTACTCAGCTCTAAATGAGGATGACCCAGCCCATGGATCCAGAGCTGGTAACGACAGCTTTCCAGCACCTAGCTCTGTAGGGCCAAGACATGTTCCTGCTTGAGTCTCTGGCATGATTCTTCTATTTCTTTAGAGTACTGGGAATGAACCAGGACCTTGTGCATGCTAGGCAAGTGCTCTACCCCTGAGCTATATCCCAGCCCTTGTTTCTAAAATTAATCTGAGATAGGGTCTCACTAAATTGACAAGGATGGCCTTGAACTTGTGATCCTCCTGCCTCAGACTGAGTAGCTAGGATTACAAGCGTGTGATGCTGTGCTGAGTTCTGGCATGATTCTGATGGGACCTGGGCGGGAAAGACTGGCAAACTCGGCCCGATGGAACCCCCAGGAGGGCAGGGACAGCCTCTGCCTGTATGCTGCAGACAGCAAGTGCACACCCATAGTCAGGATGTGCTAGGGAGGCCAGCTCCACACATGGAGGTGAGAGGGAGGTGGCAAAGAGTTCTTGACAGCTGCACCTTCCTCAACCTCCCACAGCCACTGTGTCAGGCAGGGTGGGGGATGGCCGAAGGCTCCAAGACTTGATGATATCACGGAATTCTATCTCTGGAGACTTCTGAAGCAGAGGTCTCCTCACTGTACTTGTAATCAGATTTTAGCTGCAGTGTAGGCTACTGAAGCTAGCCAACAGCCTCTCACCTGCTCAAATTTCCAGCCATCGGACATGGTGGACACCATCTGTGTGAGCTCCTCCTCCTGACACTGCAACACACGGTATACATGCTTCACAGGCACCTGCAAGGACAAGGGCCGCCATGAGGCCAAGACATGCCCATACCCAGCAACCCTGCCCATGTGCCCCTGCAGGAGAGAACTCCACAGGGATCCACATGTCCTAGAGCCCAGAGCAACCCTGAATACATCCACACAGCTGCCCACAGCCTGAACAGCCGTGTGTGCCACTTCCTTGCTTGCCTCCAAAAATATTTCTACTTCTAAATTCCAAAATAAAATGAGTCATGCTCCTCAAATCTTGAGAGCACCTGTAGCTAGATGTGAATACAAAAGAATGCCCACTTTGGCCACAGGCAGTCTCTGGATTGACCAGCTGGGAAAAGGGACTAACTGGAAGAGCCTGAGAGATAGCCAGACACACACATGCATGTCCTCTCCCAGTATTAACTGTACTTGTAATCAGATTTTAGCTGCAGTGTAGGCTACTGCAGCTAGCCAACAGCCTCTCACCTGCTCAAATTTCCAGCCATCGGACATGGCCACATCTACCTCTTAATCCTCAACCAGCCCAAAAGGGTTCCCTGTGCTGGGCTCCAGGCAGGCTTCTATCCTGGAGACTTGGGCCCACAGGACCCTGCTAGAAACAAAGACGAGCTAAGTCTGGGCTTCACCCTCCTGGAGCAGCTCTAGCAGAGGCCACAGCACAGGGAAGATGAGGGCCCAGGTGGCTGGCACTCAGGCAGTATCTCATATGCCAGTGACACGTGGCTGACAAAGTCACACAATGAACCTGCTGTTGCCCAAGTCTATTAGACAGCATATGATACTGGCTACCACTACTACTGGAGGGCCAGCTCCTGGGAGCAGGTCTTTCTCACCTCTGCCTCAAAAGTAGTTGCACTGTTGTGAGTGGGGCTGGGATGGAGGAGAAGAGGCAAACAGTACAAATGAAAGAACCAGGGAGCATCTGGGATACATTTCCTACTTGCTGGAAGAAGAACATCTCCCTAGACCCAGTCCTGGCACCAAGTGGGCTCCCGCAGAAGAGGGAAAGCCAGAGGCAGTTTACATCCATTACCCTGACCTGACCTGGCTGTTATTGTTCCTGGGTCCACTGGGTGTGCAGGAAGAAAGCAAGCAAGACCACCACAGTGGGAAAGCCCATCATGGGGTGGGGATATTGAGAGGGTTTAAGCATACTGGCCATAGTGCTGATATCACCCCACAGCATCTTTCTGGAGCAGAACCAGCTTGATGAGGGCTCAGCTGTTCTTAAGCACAGAGCTGGCATGGTGACAAGATCAGCTGGTACCTCCTTCACAGAAGGTGCTGGATACAACCCTTCTCCAGCAATACCAGCCTAATGGGTGGCAGACAGCTTCTGACTGTGGCCATGCACCATGGTCCCTAGGAGGATCCGAAGCAAGCATGCACACCATTCAGAGCCTGACCTCTCCTCTTTCCCAGGAAAGCCAAGCATTCTCTGTGCCTGTGCAGACCCCTTGCCTTTATCCGATGCCCCTCACAGTTTATCACTGTTTTTCCATTACACTGACCACTGGAGGCCTCCCTGTTTTCCCAGAACCCGTTTGTTTCACTGGACCTTCCTCTCCTCCATTGTGTTCACCACACTCAACCTCTATCTGTTGTCCCACTGGAGGAGGCTCCCTGAGGTGGGGCCAGGAAAGGCTGGATGGATCCTGTATGGGACACTGCAGGAGCTGAGCTGGAGGGTGAGGCTACTAGGCTCTGTTCCAAAGGCCTCATGTGAGAGGGCAGGTGAGCTGTGCCTACAGGCCAGGCCTCCAAAGCTTCCAGTGCATTAGTCACTTGTCTCACCTGTGATGTTTTGCTATCTCGTTCTCTAATTTTGTCCTTTACAAGTTTTATTAGTGAGGTGATGTTGTAAAATTCTGCTTCTTCCAACACTCCTGGAAGAGAGGAAAATAACAGACTTTCACCAGACTGGACCAAACAAAAATAGTATTTCATACCTGCCTCTCTCCCCAGGCCCAGCCTGTCCTAAGTTGTCACAGACCTGCTGCTCATAGCACTCAGCAGAAGTGAGGGTTCAAAATGAGAGATGGGCCACATGTGGTAACACATACATGTAATCCCAGTGACCCAGTGACTTGGGAGGCTGATGCAGGAAGGCTATGAACTTGAGACCAGCCTTGGCAACTCAGCAAGATCATGTCTCAAAATAAAAAGTGAAAAGGGCTAGGGATGAGGCTCAGTGGCAAAGAGTCCCTGGGCTCAATCCCCAATACTAAAAAATAAAATAAAAGAGGAAGGGTGATGTTTATTAAACACTTCCTTGCAGCCTCCCTCCAGTGACATACAGGGGTGGAACAGCTGCCCTGGGCCCACAGATGCTGGGAGAATGACTGGCATTTTCCCTCTGTACCCTGGCCACTTGTTCTGAGCCCTAGTTCTTCCTGCTGGGAGCCTGCAGGTGTCACAGGTGCAGGCCATGGGGTGGTAAGCCACAGCTTCCTGTGTATCAGTCACTCACACCTATCAACTCTCTTGAACAGGCTCTCCTATTCCACAAAGACCAGATGGCTGAGGGCTGCTCCTGGTTCCAGTGCTCTTTCCAAAGCCTGCCATCCACAGCGCGCCATACTTGGAGACATGAAACCTCCTAGTTAGCAGCAGATTCCCAGGGTCCCGTTTCAAGGATTCCTCGTGGGCATGGGTCACTACCTCATTTTTTCAGCCCAACTGCATGACAACTCAGAACAACACACAGCAATGTGGGAAGGACATGGGGCAGGTGAAGCACAGGGCAGCCTGGAGCCAGAAACATCCCCACACAGGAGGCTGTCCCAAGTAGTCAGTGTGTGCATGTGAAAAAGCCTGGGCTGACGCAGACACTGCACACGGGCAGGAAGTATCCTCTGGCCTCAGGGCACAGCAACCTAGGGCTTCTCAAGCTCAGGAGGAAGGAGAACACCAAGGTTCAGAGAAAAGAAATGGAGATGCAGCAGGGGTTAGAGAAATCAAGCAGTCCAGTCTAGACAGACTGCCACAGAATCTCCCTGGCCCTTCCTGAAAGAAACCCCTGGCTTTTCTGAACCAACACCAGAGCACAGAGTCTACCCTAGGGCCTGGTGCTGGGCAGCCTGCAGATGGGCAAGTATCCCACATTCTGATCAGGCAGGATGCAGTGGCCAGTAAGGCAGGCAGTACTCAGATGATAGTGTGGAATGTCGCTACCTTGAGCTGTCCTTGGAAAGCAGGCAGAGGATCCTAAGACACTCCACAGGTGTGCTAGGGTGTCTGTGGCACACGGCTTCAGAAACATGATGGATAAAACAGCTGCCCCCCCCCCCCCCGGCCCAACACACACACCAGATCCTTGAAAGAGCAGAGTAGCCTTGGCCACTTGGCCCACATCTCAGGCTCTTCTTCCACAGCAGTCCTGACAGGCCACTGGGTAGCCTCTCATTCTCAAGAGGCCTGTGAATGGCAGTGCAGCAGCCCCCAGGGCCACATCTGCAGAGAAATGTGGGGTTGCAGCTTGAGGTGTCTGGTTCTTCAATGGATTGACCAGCACCTTCACCAGGGGCTTGCCTTTGAAAATAAGGTCTCTGGGGGCTGGGGTTGTGGCTCAGTGGTAAAGTATTTGCTTAGCATGTGCGAGGCCCTGGGTTCGATCCTTAGCACCACTTAAAAATAAATAAATAAATAAATAAATAAAGGTATGGCATCCAACCACAACTAAAATAAATAAATATTTTAAAAACAGAAAATAAGGTCTCTGTGCAAAAAAGGATAGCCTACCTTCCTCAGCGAGGTCTTTGTTAATGACCAGCTTCCCATGTCTCAAGTAGTTCAACACAGGTCCAAAGTACGTGGGATCTCTGTCAATTAAATAGGCACCTGTTTCATCCTATGAAACAGAAATGTCATCAGTCATGGATGAGAAACTAGTGGCTTCTGCAGTTAGAGTAAGACTTGAGTGCATCTGGTTGGCATACACTCACCCACCCAGCACCAGGCCCGTGTTCTCAGTACCCCAAGGCTCTCCCAGGCCTCCTCTAAGCCGATCTGTCTGGCTCCCAGCTAGAAGACAAGTTTCAGCTGTTTCCTGAGTTTGCTCCAGAGTGAGGTGATGTGGCTGCAAATAATTTGGGATGCTGTGGCTGGCAGGGTCTGGTGCTACAGAGACACAGATGTCCTTGTGCCGATGAGGGTGGGCCTCTCCCAGGCATAGCCTGGCATCTGCTCTGACAGATGCCCAGGGAGAACAGCAAAGTCAAGGCTCCACTGGGGTGAGGCCACAGTCCTGGCTTCCTGGCAGTTTTCCTAGCCCTTTCCTCACAGCTCAGGAGAATTCTGAGAAACCACGTGGCATGACCAATCACACAGTCTCCTCCACTGTCATGGGCAGGGCCTTCCTAAACAGAAGTCAAGGACTGGACTGGTCTGGATGGCAATGGGGGCCTTCTGATTGCCAGCATGGAAGAAGTAGCCTCTAATTGCTGATCTCTGATCCCACTGTCAAGAGCCTCCTTAGGTGAGCAGCACATCAACAGCCCACACAGGAAGCCCTATTTTCTGTTGAATGGTAGCCCCTGAGCTTTCTCAGAGACTGTGACCACTAAGGGAGCCCTCACCTCACAGCCAGTGGTTTGCAGTCCACGGGAGCTCAGCTATGCACAATACAGCCCACTCACTCAGCAGGCACTCAAACTGACCTAGCTTCTCCAGGGGGCAGTGGGATTTCTGAGGCTGTGGTGGCCAGCCAAGTTCCCCTTGAGAGCTGATTCCTGTCACATGTATCAGCCTGGAGGTAGACACACCTCCCCAAGGCATGAAGTAGGCACAGCTTCTGCATGACCTGTTACACCACATAGCCCTAGGGCCCCCAGAAGCAGGTGATACACAGATGCCCCAAGGACACATCTGGAGGGGTGGGCAGTAAATTCCTGTCACCCCCACCCCAGACTCAGGCCCACAAATTGGCTGCAGGTAATTTGGGCTGCTGAGTCTGGCAGGGCCTGATACTATAGAGACACAGGTGTCCTTGTGCTGATGAGGGTGGGCCTCTCCTAGGCATAGCCTGGCATCTGCTCTGACAGAAGCCCAGGGAGGACAGCAAAGTCAAGGCTCCACTGGCTTCCTGGCAGCAAGGCCCACAGCCAAATGCTGGGAAGAATGAGGACTCTTCAAATCAATAGGATGGACTCAATTTCCCTCTTTAGAGGCTTCTGAGCTCCTGTGGGGCCTCTGCAGGTACAGGGCATGGACAGTGCTGTATGTGAACCTCACTGGGAGTTGTTGGCCAGCTCCAGTCCCAGGGAACAGCATCAGTACCTCTGCAGAAGGAGATTGCTAAACCTCTGGGACACAGCATGCCCATAGGCACCAGAATCCCGAGAGGAGGTGGTGTCTTGGCTACAAAGCAATGTGCCATTAGGACCCTTTTTTCTTCATGAACATCAATTCCTATAGTTGGGCAGTAAAACCTGGTGATTTCAGGGTTCTTTCCCCAAACCGACAGGCACAAAACTATAAAAACCTGTTTTTCTTAGACCAAAGGGATAAAGTTGAGTTCTGTGGTTTAGATAAAATCAGAGAGCTCCTGGGGTGTGGGGGTGCTGGAACCCAGAAACCACTTGCTCCAATCAACTCTTTTCTCTCCCTGTGGGCCTGCCATTTCACCCCATAGCAGCATCCTAACCCCATACAGACCTCCTGACTCCAAGCTTGACCCCTACCTAAGGCTATACCGGCTGGACTGACCAGGCTTCCCCACCCTGTGGCCCTGGGCTTTATTTCTAGAAGTTACCCCAGGGACCATCCCCCTCCCAGCCTGGTCCTCCAGCTGGGCTCCCAAGGACCAGGGAGACCAGAGTCTAGAAGCAGTCCTGCCCGCCTAATGAGGACAGCTACCATTTCCCAGTGCCAACCATGTGGCATGTGCATATCACCAAACTCAGGACTTAGGAAGCTACCAAGAAGGAAAGGTCCAAGACTGGGGCACATGTGAGGCACTGAGATTGATCCTCAGCACCACAAAAAAATAAACAAATAAAGTCATGGTGTCAATCTACAATTACAAAAAAAAAAAAAAAAAAAAGGTCAGAAGGGGGATTGGGCTCATCTCTGCCTGGACACCCTCCTACAGGGCCTCCCTTATAATGCCAGCTATGATGTGAGTCAGACCATGGGTTCAATGCCACACTACCCCAAACCTCAGTTTTTTTCTTAAGTAGAACAGGAACAAGAGCAGTTCACTGGCCTCATGGGCAGCTCAGAGTACCAGGAAGCTGGGGATGGCCCTGGCCTGTGTGCCACAACTGCCAACAGATATCACACATGCTGCAGAGCCTGGGCTGTAAGACTTCCTGGCAAAGACAAGCTGGGCACCCCTCTGGGCACTGGGACTGGCAGAGGAGAAAGAGGAAGTTTTCTGAGCACCACAAGCCACACAACTGCAGCCCAGACCTCCTAAGCCTGGAAGGCAAGGGCATGAGAGAAGGAGGAGGGACTGTGGGTGAGCAACAGAGGAAAACATGGCAGCAGGATGTTGTGGTGGGCCACAGGGAACTGGTCCAACTGGCACTGGTGCTTGGCTCTGAAACTCCAGAGAAGGGGAGATGAGCCTCAGCTGCATTTGGGCCCTGGCAAGCCTTCCAGATTCAGCCTTACTGGGGCTGGCTTGTCACCACACATGCCCATGAGGAGACAGCTTTTTCCTCTTGGCATTGGGGAGCACTCACCACTGAGCTACATCTCTAGCACTTTTTTAGAGACAGGGTCGTGCTAAGTTGCCCTGGCTGACCTTGAACTTGGAAGACCTCCTGTCTCTGCCTTCTGAGTGACTAGGATCACAGGTATGGCCACTGTACTTGCCAAGAGACAGCTTTCTGGTGGACACTTTCAAGGAACTCCTGCCCTAGGTCTGACCTCTCAGCCTGGAGCACTCCTGGCTCAGGGCAGAGACAGGACACATCCAAGTAATGGACATGGGGCTATTCAAGGCAAGTCTGCCAACTGGGCTGACGGCACCTTCTCAAGGTGCTCATCCATCCCCAAGGCTGCAGACTTCACAAGTGGTAGGGCAGGGAAATCGAGATCCAATTAGCCTTCCTATGGCTTTCGCCACAACCTCTTCTTCCAGTCCACACCCTATGTTCTCATGCTAAAGGCCTGTGTGCCTATGCAGCAAGTAAAAGGGCAACTAAGATCTATGTGCAGACCCCCACTTGCATCAAGCTAAGAAGCAACTTTAAAGCAGCAGCCTCTTGGTGACTTCAGAAAAACAAGATCAAAGGAACCCAAGACATCTGCTTTAACCTTGCTGCAACCAAGACTGGAAGACAGGAAGAGCATGAGGACCCTGAGCACATTGACCAACACAGGCTTGTGATACCTGTGGGCCCCAGGCCACTTGACCTAGGGAGATGCCAGCAGCACATCAGGCAGAGCTGCCAAGGACATAGGGAGAAGCCAGGCTCAACAAGGGCCCCCATGCAAAGAGCCCATACACTATCAGCAGAGGGCCACAAGCAGGCACAGAATGTGGTAGTGGGCAGCAGGAGACTGGGCAGCAGAGCTTGTAGAGAGTGAAACAGCCCAGGGCCAAGTTCACATCTAGACTCCCTTGCCAGGTCTCAGCTGCCCCATTAGTTAAATAAGACATTTAGCCAAGATAACCCTTAAGCTTCTTCTGGCTTCAGCTGTGTTCTAGTCTGACTCCCTTTCCTCTAACAGGTGGGCATTTGGCTCTGTCTTGGGGTATGTGTATGACAAATTATAAGAGAAAGAAAGCCACATATCTGGTCACTGAGATGAATGAGTGGGAACTAAAACACAGAAGTGAGGTGCACCTGGCCAGGCTGGTCCTTTTGAGGCCCTGCCTGTATACATCTTTATACAAGAAGGGGTCAGTTAAAGGCCCAGATACAAGGGAATGAGTATACCTCAGGTGAACCTCCACTAGCTTATGACTTGTCTCAAAAATTCATATGAATTTTACACTTAAATCCCTATTCTTGGGGCTGGGGTTGTGACTCACCGGTAGAGTGCTCACCTAGCACATGTGAGGCCCTGGGTTCGATCCTCAGCACCACATAAAAATAAATAAATAAATATATATATATATATATTTTAAATTCCTATTCTTTTTTTGACTATAAGATATGTTTTCCTAAAACTCAAAAAGTCATCAGAGGCAGTTGGCCAAATTCACCAAATGAAAGCCGGCCGAGAGGACCCATGGAGATAGTGCCTCTGAGGCATAAACCCTGGTGCCCAGTCAGTGCCTCCTGTCCTCTGGAGTATAGTCTGGTTTGATGGAGCATTTCAGAACCTGCTCACCACTCCTGACACCCCTATACAGGTTGGCCTATACAAAAGAGGGATTCAGACAGGGACCCTTGTCATGACACTTTCTTCCCACCATGGCACAAGCCTGAGCCCAAACACCTCCAGGTCTGCCCAGAGTCCCTCCAGGCCCCATGGAATGTTTGGCTATAGTCATTTCACATGGCCCCCTTTTGAAGTGAGGCCTGAGCCCCTGCCTAGGCCTGCCAAAGTAACCTGGACTGATGATCCAAGCAGAGCAAAGGCCAACAGAAGCTGAAGAAAGAACAAATGACCCTATACAGGCTACACCTCCCACAGAAACCTGGATTGTCCTACGGCATGCCTCAGAGCACTCTGATGCTTTTCTTTTGGTGAGCACCTTTCAATCAGGTGGACTTCCTTAATAAAGGAGGCACCACTTGGACAAAGGTCAAGGTCAGAGCCAGCAGGGCCAGGAAACGAGGGAGCAGGGTGCAGCATGGCTCTCACACTGGGATTCCTGAGAGCCATCAGTGGGAGATCTCAACTTCCATAGGAAGGTCTGGGTCCTAAAACAAGACTCTACAACCCACCAAC